CGCACGCCGCCGCCCGGCCGACCACGGTGACAAGCAGCACGGCCACGGGAGGGAGCACGGCGACGAGCAGCAGCGCGCCCACGCTTGCCATGGCCCTGGTCGATCTCGTCGATCTTCTCTCCTCTTCTTGGTTGTTCACGCATGAACCGTACGTGTCGCCTCGTCCCTCGGCTCTGCGCGTGCATGCAGCAACAGCGAGAGCTAGCTCGAGCGACGAGCAGGAGCAGGGGCGTGCCGCCGGGCCGGCGCGGGCACGCACGCGCGGCAGCGAGGCGAGCGGCGACGAGGGCCGGCACGGCGGGGGCGCGGGGCGGGCAGGCAGGGCGACGAGCAGGCTGCAGTGAGCGCGTGGCCGACGCGTGGGCGAGCGGCCATGTCGGACGCGGCGCGGCGACGAGATTCCGAGGGCAGGGATGCAGCGGACGTTTTAGGTCACTCTGCCGCGGTGTGCGCCTCAAACCCAAACCCGACACGCATGTCCGTTCTCCTCCCTATTGCCACCCCAAACGGACAAAATCCGGACAAAACGGACGTCTGTTTGAGGTCGTGCGGTGGAGTTGCCTGAGGGCCTCATGCCCATGGCACACGCGTCATGGATGCTCGAAGCTGCCGTCACAGTGAAGCACGGGATTACACAATCAGACGGCATGGATGCCACCACCTGGACTGTGAGGCGCGTGGATGCCCCTGGAGGCGGCAGGTACTCCAACATCCTTTACCGAAGTATACCTGCAGACAAACTATGACCGTTAGACCAGGCTCGTTCGGTCATGGGAAAATGGCTGCTCGTCAAGCAGACCGACTCTAACCATTTGAACAGGATCGTTCGGTCATGGGAAATGTCTGCTCGTCAAGCAGACGATCTCTAGCCGTTAGAACAGGATCATTCAATCATGGGAAATGTCTGCTCGTCAAAACGGAAAAAAAACAGGGAACCCGAATATCCAGCAAACGCCTGACTTTTAAGTATGAAAATCGAAAGTTTTCCATGAAAATTATGTTGGTCGAGGATGGAAAATCCGTCTCAGTTTATTTTTATTTTATTTTTGCCCAAAAATTGCCATGTTTGGAGACTAAATTTGCCGTCCTTATTACGTCTATGTAAATTGGCATGTAAAACTTTCGAGTTGTCATCCCTAAAAATAAATCTGACGTCAAGATTTTAGCATCCCTGAAAATAAAAATAATGTTGGTACCACCTGAAGAATGAGAATAAATAGGAGCATGGGATATGCTTGCCCTTGCCGGGCATGGCATGAGACTGACATGCATGCCGTGGGTGCGCGTGTCCCCCGTTACCCCGTCAGGTCTCCATTGACGGACGAGTGGTCCCAGTCAACTTGAGCCCACGCACCATCGGATTCGCTCTCCACGCTCCACGGGCAAAACCCAACAGGTGATCTTTTCTCCAGCAAGGTACAACTATTTCTACAGTACTACTGGTAGTACTACTGTAAAACGGAGGATCACAGTAAAAATCCATTTGTTTGTCACCTACTAGTACGTAGTAGAGTAGAGCGGTAGTAGTAGCTGCATAGGCTCTGTTCATCTAGGGCGACTAGAACGAAGTGTACATGGACGGACGGACGGAGAAGACGGCGAAAAGATGTAGCAGCAGGCAGCAGGCAGCAGCGGGAGATGGATCACGATAGATGGACGAGTGACTAGTGCATGGGCAAAAGGACACACACGGTAAGCTATCTGTCTGCGCCCGTGACTGCCCCTCAGACTCCGGCCCGCTCCGGTCCCACCACCAAAAGCAGCAGCAGCAGCAGCGCCCATCTCATCACTTTCCCCTCTCTCCGCCTGCATCTCTGGCTTTTGCTTCCCCCTCTCTCTCTGCTGAAGATTGCTTGAGTTCTTTATTTTAAACCAGATGCGGTATATGGTAAAAAAAAATCGGTCCTATCTTCTTCTAACGAACGATAAGCAAAGGAGAGGTTATTTTCACAAAGACCCAGTTTGATGTCCACAATGCATCACTGATAGTCATTAGTCACAAAGTGGCCACTGCTGCCAGGAGTCAAAGGCTAGCCAAGCAGTGACGGTATACTTGTTCTTCTGTCATCAGATCAGACTGAGATGAGATCCACACAAACAGAGGATCGACCTGACCTTGACCTTGACCTTGACCTGACCGAGCGCACACACGCAGCAATGCAGTTATGCATGATGGTTTCTAGTAAGTACTTTCCACACTTGACTTTCCCCTTGCTATGCTCGGCTCGACTCCACTCGACTCTTGCAGGAACTAGGTAATAATTAAAACGACCGACTGGGTACTATTTTATGCTGCTACCATATACTACTAACTAGTAAAATGCCTAGGGCTAAAGACAACCTAGGACTTGTTTCCTTTCTTAATCTGTTGCTGTTGTTGCTGTTGAGTTGCTGCTGCTGTCCCTCTCCCAACTCAACAAGATACACCTCCTAGAATCTGTTAACGCTTTCCTTTTCTTTTTCCGACCACCACTTGTTGATGGGGTCAGTCATCACACGAGCCCCTGCATGCACACAAAAAAGCCCATCATCAGGGACGGTAATTTTACTATTATATACTCCTACATGCATCCTTCTACCATGATTGAGCCAGTGATTGTTGCTGTTGACACTTACTCCCAGCACTTCAGAGAGGAGATGACGCCCCTCTTCTTTGCTCTATTCACAGCCCAATTGCTCCCTGCCCAGACGACAATCTGAAGAGGAAAAACAATTTATCATCTCACTCACATAACTGTTGTTAACAATTTTCTCACAAACATGTAGTACTAATTCCTGATGCAGGTCAAAAACAGATATTAGCATGAAGGGAAGTGAATCAACTGGAGTGATGTTTTCAAATAATAATCACCTAGGCACTTGAGAGAAGCAGGAGCTGTAGAGAGGTTTTGTAGGCGGGAAAAGAGAAGAGGCCACCAGGTGGGGGCTGCTACTGTTGCCCATGGCACCAGTGTGAGCTGTCAGCTGCTCAGCAGCAGCAATGGAGGCCTCCTTGGTGGGGGAAGCAAAGGGGCTACCAGGCAGGTGGTGGGTGTGCTCCATGCCACTACAATTCAAAAAACAAGACACACACGCACACACATCAATCAATTATGGAAATACAGTATGGTAGAGCCCCCCACAAAAGAAGCAAAAGGAACTGTTTAACCAGTTAATATGGATAGTTGTCATTAGCTGGGGTCACTAGTTTGAGTTTCTCTTCTCTTCTTCGAGTCCCGTCTAGTATGTACTAATCAAGAGAGCCTATGATTAGCACCACAAAAGCCTATACCTCGTCACCTTTTTGCAATGTCTTTTTTGTTTTTGTTACTATAAAAGAGACTAATATGATTAGCATATACTATACAGATGAAGAAAAGGAAAAGAGGTTGCTGCACTAATTACTGAAAGTTTTCCATTTTTTCCCCTTTTAGTTACCCAAAAAGTAATAGTACTCCGGTGAATGTCCACTATTTGTCCAAAATGCATTTCATCACTTTGGTGAATGTCCACTATCTGTCCAAAATTCATTTTTTATGATTCAAAATCTGGTGATACCTTTTGAAAGTTTTATAGACATACAAACCATGTAAATTTGATGCCTGAATATGATAATATGTGTACTGCATAAAGTTATTATCGTTGAAGCACATAATGCTTATGATTATACTAAATTTAACACTGATACTACATGTTACAGGATGGTTTCTAGAAATACGAGATGTTCAAGTTTTCTAATGGAAAAATATGCATTTCGAATATCCCGAAGCAGACATCCACCCAAGTGGTGAAAAACCATGTTGGCCCCATACGATACTAATATCCACCCAAGGATTACAGATATACTATTACCTTTCTTGGTATTCACAAACAACATTGGATGCAGCTGCTGCCCCAGGACCAGATTCCCTCCTCCCCTCTTCCCCAGAGTTGACTGCCTGCTTGGGACTGCCATCGCCATTGCCATTGCCATCACCACCCTCCTCCTGACACTCCTGCTTCCCTTCTTTAGAAATCACAGAAGCAGCAGCATATGGACCCATGAAAAGACCACTGCTCAGATTGCTGTTATCTGCAACAAGCATAGATGTCATGATGAGCTCTGAACACTCAGGGTAACCAAATGTGCATTTGCAAAAAGGAAAAAAAAATCGACATGTAATGCTTTTCAAGAACTGGACCTTGGATGGTGCTAATGGCGTCATCAAGATGGACGCCATTGCCGTTCCCACTGAAGCAGCCGCCATTGCCGTCGGAAGGTGAGCCCACGGGGGAGCCGAGGAGGTGGTGGCCCCTGTTCTTGAGGTCAAGAAACTGCAGCCCCATGAGCCGGCGGCCTTGCAGCTCGATGGCATGCTGCAGCTCCGCCGCCTCCTGCTGCTCCTCCAGCCTCCTCCTCAGAAACGCCGCCTCGTGGCCGGCCATGCTCCCGTACAGCATTCTCTGCCCTGGCAATGGCAACACCATCTCGTCAAACGCCTTGCGCAAATAACTGATGATGAGGGAGTAGATAGGAGTGTTCAAATGCTCACCGATTTGCGGCTGCTGGAGGTCGAAGGGGTCCCTGGAGTCGAGCAGACCGGCAGGCGGCAGCGCGCTGCCCACGGAGGCGAACTCGCGGTGGTGAGGAGAGAGGCAGTGGCCGCCGCCGCCGCCATGCCTGAACCTGTCGGGGACCTTGCCCTTCTCCTTGTAAGGCTTGACGAGGACGCGCGCGTCGCAGACGAAGTGTGGGTTGCCCTTGGCGAGGACGAGCCGCACCGTCTCCGGGTAGACGAAGGAGACGAAGCCGAACATGCGCTTCGGCTGGTGCGGGATGCGCACGTCCTGTACCGGCCCGTACATGCTGCGCACTCAACCAAATGATCGGTCGACATTAGAGCAGAAGGCGGAGGTTTAGTATGCAACAATGGCGGCGTGTGCGCACCTGAAGTAGCTTGACACGTCCTCTTCGGTGAAGGTGGAGTCGGCGGGGAAGGTGAGGTAGATCTGGCGCGCGCCGTGGTTGATGGCGAGGTCGCCGCGGTCCATGCGAGGCGACCGGTGGGAGAACCTGTGCATGTCATCGCCTCCGGCGAACAGCATGTCCGCCGCCCTGAAGCAGCAAGTATCAGTAATCTGGACGGCTGAATGACAAGAGAAAATGGAAGCTTATGGGGATTTAAAAGGTGCCACCTTTGGGACTCGCTCTGCTGCTGTAGGAGGAAGCTGAGGCCTTTGGGCGGCGATGGCGAGAAGGGGAAGGCGGGCGCCATCATCTGCGACCGCGCGGCGGCGAGGGCCTTGGCGCGCATGACCGCCATCTCCTGCTCGGCGACGTCCTCGGGCAGCCCGTGCAGGAAGCGGCAGCCGGAGCCGTTCTTGCAGAACCCCCGGGCGAAGTACTGGCACGGCTTCCACCCGCCCTCGGCGTCGCTCAGCGAGAAGCTCCGGCGGTGATGAGTGCCGCTCGCCGGAGACCAGCAGCCGTACTCCTCCTCGGGGTAGAACGCTTCGGATGCGGCGCCGAACGGGAGGCCGCCTTCAGCATCTCCTCCAGCCGCACCCGGCGCCATCCTCCATGCCGGCGCGGGCGGGGAGGGGGGTTTGCTGCAGGCCGCGAGGTCGGCGACGACGGACTGGAGGAGGTGCTCGGGGCCGAAGGCGAGGCGGATCATATCCTCCTCGCTCTTGTCCTGGGTGAGCAGCATGCCCATGATCTTGGAGGCGAGGTCCGCGTCGACGAGCCCCTGGACCCGTGCGAACACCACCTTGGTGGCCTCGTAGGCGTCCATTGCGCCGCTAGTATCTCCACGCGGCGGCGGGCTTTGATTTCTCGGAGGGGACGGGAGGGGGGGAGCGAGGAGCGGGGAATGTGAAAAGATTGGATTACAGAGGAGGGAAGACGAGGAGGAAGGGTGGGGGCACAGCTGTAAGCGGCACAGTGAAATAAATAGCGCGGCTGCGTTGGGTTGGGCTGGGAAAGTGCAGTGTCTTCTTCCCACAAATCAGTTTCCCTCCATCAATGACCGGTTGAGGTTTTCCTCTCTATACGGTTTACCTAGAGAGATGGTTGTCACATTCAAATTTTGGATTTGAGATGGTTGTCCTGAGTTTCATTTTTGGTACTCCCTCTCTTTCAATTTAGGTTGTGTATAACTTTTTCCGGGACGCAGCTTCAGTGCCTTAAAGGCACCTGCCTTTGGGTCACTGACATGTGGGCCAGTCATCTGTTGGGCCTACATGTTATAGACACAAAGGCAGGTGCCTTAAGGCACCGAAGCATCATCGTTTTTTCCGATATGGTCAAATGCGTTACGAATTAGTGTGATCAATGCTATTTCTTCGATGACCTGTCAAAATTGTTCCTTTGCATCTGCCACTCCATGTCCTTAAATACGCTCCCGCGTTTCACGCGAGTAATTTACTTCTTTTGGAAGTTTCGCTCGCCTTTGAATCCTCTCCCCCCCCACCCCCTCCACCGGTTGCATCCATCTACTCCTGGTAGGGGCGAAACCCAATGGGCCGATCCTAAGGCACGGAAACACATGCCGTGAAAATGTACTAAGGCCATGGGCATTAGGTTGGGCCACAATGGGTGCATCATGACCCCATGTTTCTAGCCCTCAATCAAGGTTGTACATCCTTGTGTCGCTGACAGTAGCCCTCGACATTGCCAAATTGTGAAGATTCGGGAGAATATTTGGTGGTGGAGTGGGCCAAAGAGAGCGCAAGGTGGGTCATCGACACATCACTCCTCAGGCACGGGATCCAAGGCTCCCACTCTACGGCGAAAAGAAAGGTCCACTTCTCGGAGCAAAATGATAATGTGTCGTTGTTGGGCTCTATGGTAGGGTGTGTCGACTGCAAATTAAAAATTCCTATCCGCAGAACATCCAGGAAGATGCTGACATAGATGGATCACAAATCATTACCGCTAGACACGTAGTGCCGTGCAGCGGAAGTAGAATTGGAGCAGCGCGCCCGTGGGGTTCGTCTCCTCCTTGCTTGTCTCCCTTAAACAGACGATCGTCAGATCCCACGTATAGGTTCGCCGGAGTGATGCAAGTGCATCACCTCTAGTGGTATCCGTGCGCGTAAGAGGAACACCGTGTGGCGGACTGCTAGGTCTGATCGCACAGCCGGCAACGAATGGAGGTGGCTAGTTTCAACACATGCAAAATCCCTAGTGATGGCGTCGAAGCGATCAACTGAATGAGTGTGTCGCACCTCCATTATATATAGGCATTCATCGCAGGCTCAACACTTGAGCCTCGCATGGATCCTAAAGCCCAAATTCTGTTCGGCCTGGATTCGAGTCCGGGTAGGATCACATCTGACTCATGAAGTCGGATCCGGTCTCACAGGTTCCTTCCCTTAAGCACGCAACCCCTTAGGTTCAAGTCGGCTTGGTCGCAGGTCGAATCACCTCTGATCTGCTCGGCTGGTAGCGGCCCCTAGTAAGGCATGCCAACCACCAAGTAGACAATGAAGACAGTTCACCAACCTATACAACATGTCACACTTCTGTCCCCTTTGCCACGTGATATATGTTGTCGGGCTCAAGGTGAGTCTGTCATCCTTGTGCTAGCTCAACCTCTTTCTCGTTCCAGTGATGCCGACCACAAAACGGATTATCTCATAATCCTTGTCGCATGGCCATGCTTATCTTGGTCGGATCACACGAGGGCCCAAGGTATATCTCTCCTGATCGGAGGGGAAAATCCCATCTTGATCGACGATGTCTCGCAAGATGGGTCTAGACAATCCCGAAACCTACCTTTATAACTACCCAGTTATAGAGTAGCATTTGGTCAGCCCAAAGCAGGTATGCCACCATCCCAAGTACATGCGCCAGCTTAGGTCTTAGGGCATAGAATATATGTTGTGCTCGAGACTCACAGATGACCTATCACTCTGTCTCATAGTCGGGTCTGTCCGACTCGGACCTTATCTAGACTCGGATCCGACTATGTTTCCGGGGTGTATCGAGTATGGCGAGTCATGAGCTTCCTGTAGTATCAACTTCCTGATCTCGGCATTATTGGGCACATAAACAAGGTCCTCAAACCACAAGGTGTCGTGCTCATCTTCACGAAAACCTTTGGCTTTTCCTTTGCTCATTTTCTCATTTATTTCAGCAATTTCTTTGTCATCCTTCTGTGCTTCTCAAATCTTTCCCAATAATGTTGACTGAACTTCCATCGTTGCAACAAAACCTCTAGGAACAATCTCCAAATGAAGTTCCCTGAGATCCTCTGCTAACTCCTTTGGCAATTCCCCGCTTACGAGGGTATTTATATAACTCTTCCGGCTCAAAGCGTCTGCTACGACATTGGCCTTGCCTGGATGATAATGCAACTTCATATCATAATCCTTTATGATCTCCAACCATCTCCTCTGCCTGAGGTTCATCTCCTTCTGTGTGAAAATGTACTTCAAACTCTTATGATCCGTGTACACATCACAATGGTTTCCAAAAAGAAAGTGTCTCCAGGTCTTGAGTGCATGCACTACAGCTGCTAACTCTAAATCATGCGTGGCGTAATTCAACTCATGCGGTCAAAGTTGTCGTGAGGCATATGAAACAACTCTTCCGTCCTGTATTAGTACTCCTCCAAGTCCTAAGCGAGAGGCGTCGCAATACACTTGGAAATCCTTGCGTATATCCGGCAGAATCAACACTGGGGCTGTGGTTAGACGTTTCTTCAACTCTTGGAAACTTGCTTCACATTCTTCAGTCCAATGGAACTTGGTGTCCTTCTTCAACAACGCCGCCATGGGCTTCGCAATCTTAGAAAGATTCTCAATGAATCTCCGGTAATATCCCGCGAGTCCAAGAAAACTGCGTATCTCTCCAATTGAGGTGGGTGCCAACCATTCAGTGACTGACTTAACTTTGGTGGGGTCTACTACTATACCTTCTCCTGATATAACATGTCCAAGGAATCCAACTTCCTTCAACCAAAATTCACATTTGCTGAATTTAGCGTATAGCTGGTGTTCCCTGAGCTTCTCGAGAACTAAACACAAATGTTCCTTGTGCTCTTCTTCATTCTTCGAGTACACCAAAATGTCATCAATGAACACCACAATGAACTTATCCAAGAACTCCATGAACACCTTATTCATCATACTCATGAAATAGGCAGGGGCATTAGTCAATCCAAATGACATAACCGTATACTCATACAACCCGTACCTTGTGGTGAAAGCTGTTTTTGGTATATACTTTTCTCGAATCTTCAACTGGTGGTATCCTGATCGAAGACCGATCTTGGAAAAGACTTTAGCTCCTTGCAGCTGGTCAAACAAATCATTGATCATCGGCAGTGGGTACTTGTTCTTGATCGTTACTTCATTCAATGCCCGATAATCAACAACCATTCTCAAAGACTTATCCTTCTTCTCAACCAAGAGCACGGGGGCTCCCCATGGTGACGAACTTCGTCGAATGTAACCTTTCTCCAATAACTCCTTAATCTACTTCTTGATCTCCTCCAGATCATTTGCGGGCATCTGGTATGGTCTCTTTGATATTGGTCCGGTGCCTGGCAATAACTCTATCAAAAACTCAATGTCTCGATCCGGGGGCATGCCTGGTAGTTCCTCTGGGAATGCAACTGGAAAATCCTTCACTACATGCACTTTCTCTTGAACAACTCCCGTGAGGAAATTTACGTGAGTCCTCTTTGGTACATGCCTGGATACATACTTAATCCTTTTTCCCTCCGGGGTAGTGAGCAGAATTGACTTGCTAGCACAATCAATGTTTCCTCCATAATTCGATAGCCAATCCATTCCCAATATCACATCCAATCCTTGGGATTCCAAAATTATTAGGTCTGAGGGGAAAACATGGCTGCCAATGGCTAAGGGTAACCGATCGAACCATCGGCTGGCCATATACTCTGCACCGGGTGAGCTCACTAGCAAAGGCGTCCTAAGGGCTAAGGTGGGTAACTTAAACTTGTCCACAAATCCCCTTGAAATGTATGAATGTGATGCACTACTATCAAAAAGAACGAGAGCGGTAAATGACTTAACCAAAAACTTACCGATAACTACATCTGGCTGCTCTTCAACCTCCTCCACGTTTACGTGGTTCACTTGTCCCCTGTTGAAAGGGTTGGGCTTCTTCCGAGAGCTTCCATTTCCATTGCCATTCTTCAACTCTGGACAATCATTGGTGTAGTGCCCAGTCTCCCCGCACTTGAAACAAGTAATGTGACTCTGGTCCTTCTTGGCAGGTGTGGCTGGGTTAGAGCGGTTCTGATTGTTGCCTGCTCCATTCCCGTTCCCATTCTTGGGGACACTATGGTTATGCAAACCTCCTCCATTGTGGGTATGGCCTCCATGGTTATGTGTATATCCTCCCGAGTTCAGGGTGAAACGGGGCTTCTGCTGAGCTCTAGAATTGTACTTCCCTTGTCCATACTTCCTCTTGCGGCTCTTAATCTGCTGCTGCTTCCCTTCAATCATAAGAGCCTTATCTGCCAACTCCCGGTAGTTATTAAATATTGCCACCATTAACTGCATGCTCATCTCATCATTCAGCCCTTCCATAAACTTCTCCTGCTTCACAGCATCCGTGGCCACATCATCAGGGGCATAGCGAGATAGCTTACTAAACTCATCTACGTACTGAGCCACACTACGATTTCCCTGGCGCAGGTTGCAAAACTCACGCTTCTTCACGCTCATAGCTCCAGTTGAGACATGGGCTATGCGGAAAGCTTGTTGAAACTGCTCCCAAGTGACATTGGCTATAGGAAAAGTGGTTGTGTAATTTTCC